ATCAAACTGCATACAGCGAGCACATTTGTCAGGAGAAGTCAGCCATCTGAAATCTCAGTATAATTTAAGAGAATGAGCCAATTCATGATGAGAATATTTCCCAGTTAGGCTCTGTACCTCTAGTGTCAAAGAAAGCTTTGTCAATGATTTGTGTAAGCCCAAAGCTGGAATCTGAATAATTACATTATCATGGGGAAGTTCACAGCTGGTCAACAATAGGCCAAATTTGTCCTTTAGTTACATCTCAGCCACTCCACTATACTCCATATATCCCAGTCACAAACTGCTTGCCAAAACTCCTTTGAAATGACTGTGGTAAAGATTTCCATTTTGTTGTTAGGAATAAACAAGCAGATCTGCAATCCAACCATAGGAGAGTCAAGGTCACGGCTTTCAGTGGACATCTCCTAATCGGACTCCCTGCATAAACACAACTTCTAATGTTTGCTTATTATCCTAGCTAGCATTTTAATAGTCTTAAATCCGTTGACAGAGCAGTCTGAAAATAACCTCGGTGCTCTATGGGAAGCTGAAACTGTGAACAAATCTGCAGACTCAAAAGCTCTCATCACTTGGGGCTCATGTTCGTTAAATTATTTGCCAGCTGCTCTGATAACCCCATGTTCAGCGTGTGTTACACATCCCCCCCTGTGCTTGACAAGAGAAGATATGCATTGGCTACAGTGACCAGCAAGCAGATTTGGTCTGTTTGCTCAAGCTGTCTCAGCTGTGCTCCTAGATGCGGTGGTTCTGGATCCAATTCCCAACAATGCCTATGAGAACAGAAAACAAGCTAAAGCTGATGAGCCAAATGGGACAAAGCAGAAGCAGAGTGGGGCACCTTTGTTCTCCTTAGTCAGCTTGTCAGCCATATCCCAATGCTCGTAGCTCCGCAGGACGTTGTTGGTGATGTTGACGTGGCTGGCAGCCATGTGGTGGATGCGCTGAGGGATGGTGATGGTCCCTGCTGAGGAGGAGCCGGCGGTGCCCACGCTGCTTCCAGCAGAGCTGACGGGGGATGGGCTCAGGGACATGGGCGATGGCGTTTCTGTGCTCCTGCGAGAGGTAAAGGGAGAGTGAGTCCCACGCAACTTCACTGCCATCCTAAATGCACTTGAAAAATTAACTCTGCACTCAGACAGGGGAGAATGTGCAGTAGTATCTCCTAGTTTTATGAGAAAGGAGAGCTTATAAAGTGGAATGATTGAAAAGAAAAAGGGATTTAATTCTCCCTATAAACGAACCTGTTATTTAAAAAAAAAAAAGAAAAAATATCTATCATCAAAATAGAGCAATCTTTCAGACAAAGAAATATCTCATTGCTGTAATGATTTTTCTACCTGCTGCCAGAAGCTGCAATGGCAGTTAGAAAACACTAAATGTGCAATATTGGCTTATTATCAAAGCATTTTGTGAAAACCACAATGACAGTTTACTCCAAAAACAGTCACCACAGTAAGTAAAGTGCAAGTCTTAAAAGCACCCTGCAGAGCAGTTTTAGGAGCTGAGGGTACTGTAGGATTATGAATATCTCTATAGGATTCTTTAAGAGTGGCTATGGAGATTTGTTTCTAATTGCCTACAGTTCAACTGCACAGTTTTGTTCAGAGCAGTGTTTTAAGTTACCTACTTAGTGCAGCACTAATGTTCTAATATAGATTTTCCTTTAATTCTAACAGCAGCAATTAGGAATCACCTGCTGGCTGCAGGCAGCGCAGAGGTCAGCACAGCAAGCTCATGTTTAGAGCTGTGCAGCACTGAACGCTCACTTATTGCCATCCTCTTTGAAATCTATAGAATCATAGAATTGTTTAGGTTGGAAAAGACCTTTAAGATCATCGAGTCCAACCGCTAACCCAGCACTGCCAAGTCCACCACTAAACCATGTCTCTAAGTTCCACATCTACACAGCTTTTAAATACCTCCAGAGATGGTGACTCTGTGGAGATGGTTCCTGTTCCAACATCTGATCACCCTCTTGGGGAAGAAATTTTTCCTAACATCAAAGCTAAACCTCTGGATGGGGATGCTGCAATCCCTGTCTTGACAGGTGGCCACTGGTGCCTCATGCTGTGCAACAGCATCAAGCTCACTCAGACTCATTATGGGCCTGATCCAAACCCCAGGGCAGAAAACCTCCTCCTCTTGGCTTTACAGGACACCCCAGTCCTGAACATGAAGTGTGGGTACAGACCTGCTGTGCCGATACCTTACAGGTGCCATAGGACAGACTGCCACCACAGCACAGCCTTGGGATGAAAGGCATTTATGGCAACAGCTTTTGCTGCAGATTTTAAGGTCCTTTCCAAAACTATTTTACGATTCTGTGATCTTCCAGCAGTGCCCTTCCATTACCTGTGCTCACCAACAGGCTCCTGTGATACATTCTTTTTCCAGAGGTAAAGATCAAGTTAATTCAGCAGCTACTAGCTTTTTACACAGCTTACGTGTTGTAGTTTAAGCATATCCTATGGCACAAATGTTTTAGTTTTAAGTCTCAAAATATCCTGGTTACTTGACACGCTGCAGTGTCTTTAATGCACAGAAGAGCTGAATTATACTAGATTAGGTCTGGGAGCAGTTAAATATCATAAGTATCTGAGGAGACCAGAAGTATTTTGTTAGAGCCACTTACAACAAGCTGACGCACTTCTGCCAAATAAAGCACATTGTTCATTGGATTTACCCTGTTGTGCACAGCCATTATTACTGTGGTGAGTCTATTAAATCGCTGTATTTTGTGCTTTCTGTCACTAGAGGTGGGAAACATTTCTGTAATGAAACCAAGGAAATTTTGTTTCATTGCCAGCCTAGAACTCAGGCCAACTTTGCAGAGGTTCACAACCCTTTCAAACAAAAGTGGCCACAAATTCCAGTAAGCCAAGTTGGTATTTTCGATGGTTTGAGATCCCAAGCAAACTACACTTCATGGCAATGGATAAGTTTTGCTATATTCAAAAAAAGCCCTAAGAATACCCTGCTGTCTCCCCATTCTGAGCCAGGCTGCTGATGTGCCTCCAGTGGTGCCATACCCTGGTGGTGTTTAGTTTCTCCTCTGTGGTGTGTGGCTTCTCTTCCCATCTGGGAATAAGAGGAAACTGTAGAGCAAGTAGCCCTGGGGAAGGCAGAGCACGTGCTGCCAGCACCAGGCCCGTGACAATCCCTGGGGTCACCAGGAAACATCTGAGATATAATGCCAACTGAACCAGCTGGAGAGCTTTTCTTCTGAAGGGACAGAAGACTCGAGTGTGAACTGTTGTCTTCGTGTGTTTGGTCATGGGTGTTCACAGTAACACCATTATAACAAGGCCTTGTCATATTCAGTTATTCTCACATGTCAGGTGATTCCTTCTCTGAATAAAAGACAGAGATACACACTTTCAGAGCTCCACTTCCTTATCTCCAGAGTTAGAGGGAAGACACCAATCAGTTGGGTGCTATGTTAGAAGTGATGCTGAACCAAATGCTGGGTTTCTGCCGCCTACCTTGTGTCCAGACAAGAATTTTCTCTTCCAGTCAAAACCCACTGAATCTAAATCCTGGGCACCTAATCAGCTCCTTTAAATAGCAAGGGAGATGTCACCACCTGCAGAGCACACACTTCATGGGGTCTATTATAGGACAGGAATAAAAGGATAACTTCTGCTCTATGAAACTTCTAGGTATAAGCCACTTCTTAAGGAACAAAAGAAGTGTGATACCCCAGTGGTCTATTTTGGCACTAAAATTTTATGTAAACCTTACTGTACTTTCATTGCAATACAAGGTTTCACTGACATTTCAATGTTTTGAAAAACTGTCACATATTGAATAATTTAATTTAGTAGTTGCTTTTCCAGTGTTAAAATATCTTTTCTGGTTTTATTTAAAATGATTTTGTATTTCATCACTTCAGTTTGTGTTATAATGTATACTAAAATATCTCTATACATATACATAATCAAAATAATTTTGGGTATTTGGTGTGTGTGTATATATACTAAAAAAATATTTTGAATCATCTAACATGGTATTTTTCTTTAAGCAAAATGTTGCAATTTGGGGGCTTGCACTGATTCAGAATAAAACTTCAGCTCTCAGTGTGCTAAACTTCAACTTCTTTTACAGTTTTATTACTTTGTTTCCTTGGAGTGTCTCATAGTAATATCTTCTTATGAACCACTAGAAAGAGACCATTAACAAGAATCATTTTCACCTAGAATTCAGCATACTCAAATAAAGAAGGAAAGACAGGTAAAGTTCTCCTTTGTTCTTCCTGTACCTGTATGTGTGGGCAGGAGAAAGGAGCAGGAGAAACATGTGTCAGGTGGCAACAGACATTGCACAATAAAGGCAAGACTGCAGCAGCAATGCACCTTCACTGAACAGCAGGTCATAATTGCATTGCCCTGACTTCATATCTGAGGTGAGGGTGTTTTAACATTAGTATAAAGCCACTGATAATTGGTTGACTAAGTGCCTTCACATTTTCGCCGCTATTATGCCTTCAGTTTTATTAAACAGCACTTACCATATATCAATGAAATATTCATTGGTCTTTCATTACTGAACGAATCATTGAAAAATCATTGCAATGAAGGTTAACTTTACTTTGGCTTCCTGAAATGACATGGTACTTGCTAGCTAATTAACAGATATTTTTATGGCCTTCATTTGGCTCGAGAAGCAAACTGTCAAAGAATTCAGCACAGACCCACCATGGCTGATATTAGACTTAAGGGGGCTTTGCACAGAGATGAAGGTTTGTTTCAGCTCTTCCTTCCCAGCCACACTGGATGGCTAACATGGGTACCTGACTTAGCCCAGTGGGAGCCCCTCACCCCACAAGCCCAAGGCAGCAAAAACATCAGTTCTGTAGCCAGAAGAAGGTTTTCAAGCTGCTACATATCTGAAACATACCTGTGGCTCCAAAACCACGGTGTCATGGCCCGTCCTCTGCCTTTAAAGGCACCAAAGCATTTACCCCCCGGCCCTGGACAGAAGTACTCAGCAGAAAATACTTACTTTCCATTGCCGCCCCAAGGTGAGGGGGCCTGTGAGGCTTTTGAAGAGTTCTGTAAGTACAAAACCAAAACGTAAATAAAGGTGATGCAAGTACATGAATACTGATGATGTAAGCTCAAGACTCCCCATTTTCTTTGCAAGAGCTACAGTGCATATAGCAGAACAGCTCTGCACGTCAGTCCCATAACTAAGTGGCTGGTGCATGACTGGTAGGTTCCAACCAATATCTTGAAACTCACTTAATCAAAGAGGGAATACAGTAAAGTTCCAGTAAAAGCAGATGTAGTTCACAAAGAAGCGGCTTAATTACCACTGAAACTTATACAATGACTTGTTATCTTTAGGGGAACCTTCAATCTTTTAACAAGCAACAAAAAGAATTTGGGTTGATGCCTTAATGAAATTAATCCCTCCCAAGTTTTTAGGGAAGGTGGCTTGGGATTCATACAGTAGTAGAAATAAAACTTCTAGTAAGGATCTGCTTGAGTGCCCTTAGTTTTATGTATTTTATTTGCACAAATTGACTTTCCTTACCTGCTTACTCATTGTCTTTCACGTCTGTATAGCACCTTGTGCAACCCTGTACAAAAAGACTGTCTGGCAACAATAAAGTCCAGATTTTTCCAGTCTTGCTCAGACTGGGTGGTATCTTACTTAGTTCCCAGAAAAAAAGTGGTAGTATCAGGGCTGAAGCTATCTATGTGTGCTTTCTGAAAACAATCACTCTGAGCTCCCATGCAAAGAAGTCAGCACAAACAGAGAGAATTCAACCAAATTTTACAAGTTCTCTGCAAAGGATTACATCATTATTACAATATTCATCTGGTTACTGTAATCACTATTTTACATGAGGTGCAGAGATTCACAGGAACACAGAGCAGCCCAGGGCATGGCCCAGGGTCATGCAGCTGACTCTGGGAGCAAAATCCTACCCTTGATTTCTAAAACAGAGCTATACTTGCTAATTAACCAAACCAGAAAATACTGCCCAAACTATGATACTGGCCTTGCCTGTATGTTCCTATAAACATGCCACTTGTTTCACTAAAGATGAAATGGAGTGTTTTGCAGTACATAGCACGGGTAGTGTGTATTTTTGCCACCCACTCCTATATAAGAAAGAGGGAGATCCTAAACACCCCTGGAAAGTCTTCAGGGGTGAAGAAGCAGCTTTGATGTTAGTATCTACTGTCTGGGGATTGTTCCTAACAGTATCTGGAGACAAATACAAGCTCTGTCAAGATTAAGATTAGTTCTCAACTGGAGGTAGTTATTCCACAATGAAATTATTTGAATAGCTTCGCCAATGACTATTGACAACACATTTCCAAAAACATAAAAATCTTCCTCACACTTCTAGTTGAACTGCATTGAAGGATGCCACTTCTGCTAATCTTACAAAGTTTGATTTCAAGTTTAAGAATTTATCATTTTAGTTGTATTTTACTCCAAGTTGTCTCTAAATTTCAAACTACTTTTATGATTTAATGGTTATTTTCTGTTTTGAGATGTAAAAAATACCAATTTGAAACTCTCAATTGGAAATTAATCAGAACCAGTATTTCCCACAAATGGTTTCAATTTGGACAAAGCGGCATTTTGCGAGGAAGAATATGAAGAACAATTCTGCCAAAAAATTCCTCTCCAGTTCTGCTGTAAACAGTGGGCTGCTTTTCACAGTTAAAATTGTGTAAAATCTTGAATAACAACTCTATTCAAACAGTTAATCTATTTCATTTGTATTACAGATTCTCGCTAGTGAACACAGAGAACATTGTGCAGCAATACAAAACTAATACGTAGTTAATAGCTTCCATTCTTTTCTTTTCTCCTGTTCCTTTACTACAAAAAAAATCCTGAACATATAATCTGTATACACTTAAACACTACTTCTAGGAAATGAGTTACAGTGCCTATAGCATATACACAGTAACATTAGCTGAAATACTCAACTTCAATTGGATACCTAAAACCAGCATTCCTGATTTGTCTATTTTATTATGTTTCAATTTTTTGTTCTCTCATTTTCATTTACATTAAAAGACATTTTCTCTGTGTGGATACAGTAAAAGGGTCTTAGGCAGGGGGTAGTATTATGTTCTTCATTGTATTTTGTTGCACAGAAGAAGAATCCCCTTTACCCCCTCAAGAAATCATTACTTTCTGCAGAAAATGTTTATCAAATGATTTGTCTGACAACTTTTTTTTTTAAGAGACAATCTACATTCATCCAGGATAAAACCTGAAGTGGATGAAATACATTACAGGTAAATGCTGAAGCTATAGGTATGTCTAGTTAAAATTGAATTTGTTGTGCAAATCCCTGACTAAAAACTCTGTGAGTACAACAGATACACTCCTAATGACTTCAAGAGAGCCTCAATTTAAGCATACATTAAGGAGTGATATTACTGAAGTTACACACAGAGGTCACCAGGGAAGTCAGGACTAAGTGGTGGTACTATGATAGTACTGAAGTTTAGCAGCTGAAGGACCATTTCATCACCATTAACATTAAAATATTAGAAGTACAGTGTTAAAAGTTTTACTGGTTTGCAGTACCAATATGTCAAAGCCTGGAACAAATTCACAGAGGCTGACAAAATCAACAACAAAAAAAAAGACTGATGGGCTGACAAACCAGTGTAATTACAGAATTGTAGAACAATATGTAGTAACAAAGTACAAAAATTAATGTATGCTTCAAACAGCATTAACCAGGAAAATACAAATATCAAAACCTTAGCAGAGCTGAAGAAAGATTGTTTCTCTCTTAATTTAGGGATTGTGAGGATTTGTCATTCTTTAACATCATTTAAGAAGGTAAAGGAAAACATCACCGAGTGATGACAATCAGCTGATCTTCACTCGATTTCAAGGTAAAGGCAAACTTTCCGTATGTAGATAAGACGAGTTGAAGTTCCACAGAAATAAAAGGAGAAATCTCTGAGTCTGCAATAAGCTTCAGCAAATCTCACTGAATTTAAAATCTACATTTAACTAACTAAAGCCTAAATAATTGCTTTATTATGGTTCACTGGGGGTCAGTTCCTAATCACTTGCACATTGAAATCTTGGAAGAATCAGTTTCCTTTACAGAAACTTGCATAAACATTACATGGTGTTGAGAATAATGTTATTTTAGTAGAATTACTGAATATGGTCCTTTGAATCAAGTGACTAATCCAAAAATCCCCCAAATCACTTCTGTCCCCACTGCCTGGCAGCCATCCTGCCTGCATTTCCCAGGGGAGAGGTTAAATGTGGAACTTTTAAGTAACACACTTATACTTGTGAGAGCTCTCAGTGCTGGTATGAATTTCATTTCACATCAATAAATTAAGCAGCATAAAGATTACCTTAAAATATTCCATCAGAGATCTGGAGTACTTCATAGCATGGTCCTTCTTTAGTTTAAACATTCTCAAGTAGAGAAGTGATAAGCATCGGTAGCTGTGGTAATTACGAAAGGATTATGTTAATTCCATTGCTTAATGAAACCTATAAACTGTAAAAAAAGAACCCAAAAATGCTGACCTATATTTTGCAGTTTCTGTTCTAAGGTTAGATTTTGAAACACAAGCAAATGGAGAAAGAAAAAAGAAGTGGTCAAAAGCATTAAAATCCCATCTTGATAAGAGTATAAATCAGAAGAATAAATGTTTAGTCAGCTGCTGAAGCAATCCATTAGTTATCCTTTAATAGTTTAATGGAAAACAAGAATAATGATCTTCTGTAAGCTGCTTAAGTAATTCAGTACTTTTAAAGTCCTCCTTAAGATTTTAGCTGCTTCTCTCATTGTCGCAATGGGACTTACCATAAAACTGCTAATTTCTTGTCCCCTTCTGTGGCAGAAGAGCCTGTGAAATTCTTGAGTCTCATTGCATACCTTGTCAGAAAGGTGAAGGGAGAAGAAATTGAGAGTTAAGGTGTTTCCAAGAACACTAGTGACACTCTAAAAAGTATCAGCCACACATAGATACTCTTCTCCAAGTGCAAAAGGCCACGTCATTCTGTAATGATGAGATCCATGTAAAATTCAACAGAAAGCAGTACTTAAAATCTGAAGGGGTAAAGTACATCATCAACCCATTTTCTGGACAAATGAGGTAAACTATCTTTGGACATATTAATGATATTGTATCCAGCCATCTAGGCTGGGTCCTGTAAACATTTGTGATGAGTGTTGGACAGAAGCGTATGATCTTGGCCTTCTACTGAAGAGTAATATATAATAAGGTTTTATATAATATTGAATAATACCTTCAAAATTCTTCTCAAAAATGCTTCCTCAAAGCTTTTAATATATTTAATATATAAAATGGTTTCAAATACAGGAAAGGTCTCGTTCACAGTTTTTTAAAGTCTTGGGTCAATTAATTTATAAGTCCTGCGTACTTGGTCTTCCCTCTCTATTTAATTGCTGCTGTCCAACATCTGGATCACCAAAGATTGAGTATTTCTACCTCCTCTCTTTTTTTCCCCCTTTAACTGAGCACACTCCACTCCATGCATTTAGTCTCTTGAAAATCAATTCATCGCATAAAACCATTGTTCTGAGCCCTAATGCAATTTCACAGGTACTTGTGTTATAATCAGTAATAGGGTTCACCGTTGCGTAAGAAAGTTTTAAGGTATCTCAGGCAGTCTTGATGAGTTCTCATTTACAAGGAGGTAATGGAGTGCAGGCAGGCAGTGCTGCTCTCACTCTGCCTTCCTCCCACCACCCCAATCATCAGCCCCCTGCTTGCAGCTGTAGCACAGCACCTCATGTGCTTCCTCCATGTCCTATCTCACCTGCTCTTTTGTATTGTTGTTCCAGTCATATTGAATAAATCTGATCAAACACAAATAAGTATGTTTCTGGTATTTTCAGTGCTACATTAGGGATTTTAGCATTACCATTAACTTTGAAACACCTTTGACAGTCAGATCTCTGATATTCCCAATTTCCTTGATGCTTCACTTGCTTTCACAAATAGGTGTCTGATGCAGATACTCAGGGCAGACACAGCTAATGCGAAAGGGGCAAATGGTAGCTCTGATGAAGGGAGGAGTAGAAGTGAGAAGACTCCTATTTCTTATCTCACAGTAAAAAAATCTATGTTAACATTAGAAGCCATGTTGAGAAAGTGCATGTGCACAGTTGCATTCTTGGTTTCTACATTCAGCACCCACTGCAGCGCATTGCTGCAGTGAATTTGTCCATGGAGTGTATTGAACCTGTACCAGCCTGCTGCTCACCTGGGCAATCATGTCTGATCAATGATAGCAATTAAATGGGCAAATCAGTCTCTCACTGGCTGCCCACAAGATGCTGAATAGAAGAGTTGGTAAGCAGACCTCTACCTTTGATGGCAGGCGGTGGAATTAATCTCACCTGACTTTAACTATTTAGAAATTGGAGATCTACTATAACAAAGTCCTCCAGATTTTTCTAGAGCCAAAAGCAGCTCAAAAAGCAATCCAAAAGCAGTTCAGGTGCTGCTTCTCTGCCAAGGTCTATCTGTCATGGAGCCTGCACCAGAATTGTGCTGATTCAGGTCCTGGAGGGAGGATCAAGGCAGTGGGGCTGCTTATGCTGAGGAGTGCCAGTTGCTCCAAGATGCAGCCACACATGCAGCTGACTCCATCCAGCACCAGTTTACACAAAGGGAGCTGCAGGTATCACCCATTTGTCAGCTACTCCTAGGACTGCCATTCTCTCAGTTAAGTGGTGCATGTGGTGTGGCTCTTGAATGAATGAAGATATTTAGTCCATCCACTTCTGAACAGACAGAATGCTGGGCTGAGGAACATTTTCAACTGTGCCATGTGGTTTTCTTAAAAATAAAGATACATGTGGGCTCCTATGAAGCAGCTCTCACTTCTTTAAAGAATATTTCTTTAAATACAATTTATCCTGCCATACAACTGTAGTTATGTAGTTCAGGACACAAAGTACTGTGCTGTTCACTGTCAGAGTACAGGCAGAGGTAGACAGCTCCTTTTCTTAAGCCTTCTGCCCTCGAGAGTTTAACTTGGGTCCTGAATGTTGAGTGAACATATTTTTTTTTGTGCTAAGTAATCTCTTCAGAGTTTCTTTTTTTCTTTATGAAGTGTAGAATGTAAAAACATGGTTTTAAATATTTAACAAGTGTATTATTTACCTGAGAGTAAGAGCTTCTTAAGACGTGATACATTTTATTATGTAAATACCTGCTTACTCAGAACATAAAACATGCATTATTTTTGGCAGTCCCCAATAGCTAACCTGGCATGTTAAAAAAACACCTCTGTCATATTAAAAATCAAACATTTAGGGCTTGATTTGCCTCCTTTTCTTTCTTCTGTGTAAACTGCCAGTAATTACAGTGACAGTAATGGTGATATTCCCAGCACACAGTGGAGAAAGCAAAGGTGCATAACAGCGAAGAGGAAAAATCCTGTTGTTCTACTTAGAGGTAAATTCAATCCTGCTTGATTTCACTTTGGTAATTTGTGCACGTAAAGCAAACAAGTTTTTTTTTTTTTACTCAGGATCATTATTTCTACAGAGCCAAGACTATGAAAGAGCTACAGGGAATAGTAGCAGATTTTTGAAATAATAATTCAGAGATTTTATTAGTAAACTAAAGCTCTCTCATCCATATTGTAAGCCTACAAAACTGTATTTAAACTAATTCAGCTGGTTCACATTCCTTTAACATTAAAAAATATACTTCCTTAATACAATACTTGCAGAAAGCTTCTTCACTATCATCTTACGTGCCAAGTTTCAGCTTTTTTTATTTTTTTAACAGCCAAGTTATAAACCTCTAAAAACAGGGTTTGTAATAGAAATCCTGATAGACTCACTTTAATGTTTTGAATTATAAAACTACACCTTTTAAAAGACAAGTGTCATTGCCAAACAGTGAAATTACTATACTTTACTTCCACCCACTACATTTCAATTTTAATTTTATGAATATTGCAAATTATAACACTCACATTATAACCTCTAAAGGGGATAATTTATAAAAGCAGTGTCCATCAATTATAAATTTTCCATGACATTAATAAAATGGCAAGAACTAATTATGATGACTTCTGAGATGAAGATGCCTTGGACAAATCATTAATATGTCGAAATGGTATTTTTTAAAACATAGCAGGTTCTAATTATGTCTGAAATGAGATGATGAAAATGATCACAGAAAGGACATTAACCTGATGAGTTCCACAGTCTCTGAGTACATGGTGTATGGAGATTTAGCTTCTAATGGATCTCGCTCCATAGCATTCCCGCACTCGATGAAGGAGAGGGCAGCATCAGCATAATTCACTGCTTTGCCGAACTTCTCCAGCTGAAATGGGAATGACACCATCAAGAAAATCCCTCAGCTTTAACTTCTAGGTAGACAGATCATTATAAAAGCAACACTAGCATTAGGATGAAAGCAAAGCGACGCTGGTAGTTACAAATGAACTCATACAGTAATTAAGGCAGGGGGCTATGTTTTCACCAAACCTTTTCAGGTAGTATATGGCCCAAAGCTCCACAGAGGAAAGTCAGTGTATGTCCATTGACACGCATGGATTTATAGGATTTATACAGGCAGTGAGGGACAGTAAGCATGTCTGAACAAATTGGTATTCCTCCTCGATATCTGAACTAAGTGTGAATGTCAAGCTACAACCATATCACTTGTCAGACATCACATTCTGTTAACTGCTGACCAAAAAAAAAACCTCATCACTTATGTGATGATCGAAAGAGCAGAAAAAAAAGGGAGAAAATATAGCACTGCTAAATATTTTATTTTACTAGGATTTTATTGCGAAAGGTTTTAGTCCTCATAATGGTTGTGATTAAACTGACTTAGACATACTGATTTCTTCTTTTATGTGTAATGAATATTATATATGACATTTTTATAGTAAGTATTTTATAACAGTATTTAACATTTTCAATTTTTGATAGCTGGATGTAAGAATTCTACTAATGTGTCATTTGATATAAGAGATCCAATATACTTTAAATAATTTAAAAATTTCTTTGTATGTCTCTATCAAAATATTTTTGATGCATCTGCATATGTTTTCCATTCACAAAATGGAAGCCTATCCTAGCAACATATTAAGCAGAACATTTAGCATTGGTTCAAGGTAACCGTATATGTGCCTTTGTGGCTACTTCTAAGCAATCGTTCTAACTAGTTCCCTTGGCATACCTTTAATCTGAAGTTCTGCTCTTGTGCATTGATTATATACAAAGCCTTTGTATAACTGATAGCTGTTACCTAAATGCCCACAAAAGGGGAAATATTTCTAAACATTTTCTCTCTGTTCTAATGGCCACTTCTCAGCATATTCTTTGAATTCCTTGCTTCAAGTCTTCCAAAGATTACTTTTTGTGGTATAAAAAGAAGGAATGTGGCTGCAAGCGTATTTAGTACGGACACACAGTCTGAGCCAGAAACAGGATCTGATCCTGCCCTTTGCTCCACGCTGACTCCAGCTGAGTAGGTGGAATTCCTCCAGCTCATCACGGCTCAGCTGAGAACAGAGTGAGGTCTCCAAGATCTCTTCCATATGCTACAGTCAGCTGCCGCTGCAGCAGCCCATCCACATTAGCCGATTCCTTACTGCCACCCAGACAAACATAGGTTTTCCTGGGGTCACTCCCATAAGACACAAAATCATAGAATCAGGTTGGAAAAGACCTTTAAGATCATTAAGTCCAACCATTACCTCAGGACTGCCAAGGCCATCACTAAACCATGTCACTAAGGGCCTTATCTACATGGTTTTTGTACGCTTCCAGGGATGGTGACTCCACCACTGCCCCAGGCAGCCTGTTCCAATGCCTGGCCATCCTCTCCGTGAAGAAATTGTTCCTAATATCCAACCTAAACTTCACCTGGTGCAGCTTGAGGCCGTCTCCTCTTGTCCTATCGCTTGTTCCTTGGGAGAAGAGACCGACCCCACCTCACTACAACCTCCTGCCGGGCAGTTGTAGAGAGCAATAAGGGCCTCCCTGAGCCTTCTCTTCTCCAGACTAAACCCCCCATGCCTCAACCACTCCTCATCACACTTGTGCTCCAGACCCTTCCCCAGCTTTGTTGCCCTTTTCTGGCCCCACTCCAACACCTCATGTCTCTTTTGTAGTGAGGGGCCCAGAACTGAACACGCTATTAGAGGCGCAGCCTCACCAGTGCCGAGTACAGGGGGATGATCACTGCCCGGCCATGCTGCCACACTGGTGCTGACACAGGCCAGGATGCCTGGGCACAAGCTGGCTCACGCTCAGCTCTGTCGACCAGCACCCCCTGGACCTTTTCCGCCCAGCAGCCACTCTTCCCCGAGCCTGCCCTTCACCAGACATCTATTTTCCACACAAGCTCAGGAAGAGCACTGCCACAAATCCCATTAACATTTGCTGACACATTCTGAGGTCACATGCATTATCTTTCTAGCCACTGCAACACATCTTTCAATGCTGTGTGTGCTTTGTCATGTCAGCACCAAGTAACCAGAAGCAATTGTTTCCATAGGACAACTAACGCTACGGGATTGCACAGCAAATGTGTTACATGGAGATAATTTGTGTGCAGCTGTATTGGGTTGGGATAAAAAAAAAAAGAAGTCAAGACCTAAACAGTGGAAAGAAAAAGCAGATACTTTGTTCATGGGTATTTCTGTCTGCCAACAAGTTGTGTTGTAGCGTATGGCCCCACATTCCTGTAAGAGCACTCGGGGTGTCAAACTCCATGCGACAGGCAAGGCCTGCCTGCAGGCAGCAGTGTGATGTGCTGTGCCTGCTCCTCTTAGTTCTGCTTCAGAAACACCCGACTCCGCAAGGCATAGTCAAAGGTAAGAGGATGGGAGACAGGTCAACGCTTTCTTAGTGCATCAGGCTGTGGAGGGAAGTGGATTGACATAGCATGTTGAGATCATCAGGAGCCTGAGCCTGTAAATATTTGCTAGCGTGGAGCAGGCATCCCTGTGCCAGAACCATGTGTATTTTCTTTAAAGGTCAATCAGCTGTGGGAGGTGTCAGTCTGCTGCTGCCAGCCCTTCCGGCATGCAGATGTCAGGGCTCTGGCTGAACATGCTCTGCTGAGCCAGGCTGCAGGCATCAGTGCAGGCCACCTCCTGCAACTGGACGTGTCGGGAGGGATGACTGCTCACTTACTGACAGCCACGGCAGGCTGCCAAAAACCTGAACCCACCTCCCACTGAAAACACACTCGGTAACACCGTGCCCCAAGTCAAAAGGCAGCCTGGAAAGCGGAAACAGGCAGTTTGACAGATCAACTCTCTTTCAGCTCACTGACAGCAGAGGGAAAGCCATTTTAATTTAATTTCTTTTTTTGGTGCTTAGAAACATAGCATGTGATTGGTTTGGTTTGGTTTTTTATGACAAACACTCATTTCCAAGAACAAAATCTCTGATGTGGAATGATAAAATATGCATGGAACCCCCCCATGCCGCCAAATAATAAAGCGAGAGGTGAACAATCACCCAGTTATTTTTCAGTTGTGATTTTGAGGGGTAAAGTGAATGGTTACACTCCATTTTAGACATCTTACTTTAAATAAATAGAAGAGTCAAGTTCCACTAAGCCTACCTAAATGAGCTGCTGTTCAGTACTGTATGTAGCACACAGGAGCAAAGTCCCTGCCTACAAAGCAAATGGCTATTAAAGGCACTTCAGTGCTAGCAATAGCTTGGACTGAACAAGCTATGATAGTCTGTCAGATTAAGTAGTTTTATCAAAATCAAAACACTTTGCAAAATTAGGTCAATCTTACTGGAATTTCATCTGGGGTAAAATGAGATAAAAACCTTTTCCAGCATTGAACTACCTCATTGCAAAATTTTTTGGGAAGTAGTGTGTTGAGTATTTACCAGCCTAAAAGCATGCAATAAAAATGAATGTACTATTTAAAAACCAATTGTTGCAAATTTTAAACAATTGGATTGGAAATATCAAACAGTTTTACCACAAGATAATGGGGTGGAGAGTGATCTGCTTTTCTTAACTTTCTGTAATGGAATATTTCAACACACTTGGTTTAGGCTCAAAGTGAATAGGAAAACAAGTTTCAGATACACATCATCTTCCATGAAATTATCTTACATCCTACATAAACAGCATAACTGTTACACCTCCTTGGAAGAGATACCAACTATTGTAAGGAGCTTCTTTTTTTGGGGGGAATGAATTGTTAAAGGCTAGGAATGGTGCTCAGGGTTTGACTTGCTGTGGACAGTGTATTTATGAAGTACAACCTGAAGCATGCTTTAGCCAGCTGCAGGGTTCTCTTGGTTTCTGAGACTTTAGATGACATTCAGAATGGACGTTTTTGTAATACCCAGTTCCATGCTGGAAAGAGACAAAAATCCCCCACGGCAACCTACCAATGCATCTGCTTTATGCTTTAGCTTCTTAGCCTCCTGCATATAATAATCCGCATTGTGAAGCCTAAAGAGACAAAATCAATTATTTCAAGTCTTCATTTTCATACAGTTGGACAAACATTGTTTGAGAAAACTGCTGACTGCTTCCAAGAACAATTTCAACATATACACCCACTTAGCTCTATGTCTTAACCTGATACTAATCTGAAGCTGCTGTATGCAAAGATATGATGGGTGACCAGAATGCAAAATAACGCTGTAGAAACTGGCCACCCAAAGGACCCGTTAATGTGTGCTGAACAGAGGAAAAGGAAAAATATTTTGAACTAATTAAGTATAAAAAGTTTCCATTAGAGGAGCTCAAATTAAAAAAAAAAAAAAATGAAGAAGAATTACCGTGAACCAACATTCATGATCTAAAAACATTTATCAACGGAGTCTTCATTAATCAATGACAACAGTTCATTTGTAAAGATTAAAACTGTGTGTGCCTTTGTGCAGCACTATCCACACAGATGCCCAACGCTAGTGTTATAATCAAAGATACTCTCTTTCACTGGGACCTCTGCTTGCATGAAAATCCCAGCTACATCGCATACAGCTAGCACAGAGAGCCAATAATACTTACACATCATCAAACGTTATTTTGGGTCTTCTGGACTCAGAACTCCCATTGGAAAGTGTTGGCATTGCAGACCAGATGTCCGTTTCTAGATGGCTGGTGTCAAGAAGAGGGTTGGCTGTTGGTGTATTGTGAGATTCTTCCTCCTGGAGAAAAAAAGACTGTTACTAACTCTTCATAGTTCAAGCAAACAGCTTCCAACAATGGAAGTGCTCACATCCACTCAGGAAAAAAAACAAGCAAACAAAAGGCTAAGGCACAAATTAGCACTTGTATATACCCAACTACATCCAGGTTACCTCACAAAACCACCCTTCTATCCTTTATAATTAATTAATTTAATAAGCGTATTAGATTAATTAGACAATATGACTCTACCTCTGACCCATCACCTGAACTCATTAACTTACACTCCTAGATGAAGTCAGCCCAGATACCACAGTGTTACTGACTAGAGACACTGCTGAAAGCAACGGTGGGGAAATCCAGTGCAGAAGGGCTGGATGCAAACTCTGCTTCATTCAAGGAGTACCACGATAATGTAACCCGTTTTCTATATTATCATTAGCTAACTGTAAGGTGTCTGAAAAGTCTGCTCAGATTTCAGCAAGGAGCGGTTTCCTCATCCTTGCTACACAGAACAGAGAGAAGAATGGAAAGCAGAAGTCAAGAGTCGTGACTTTGCACTGATTAAAACCAGAAGCATAAATGAAACATTTAAATCAGGCAACTGCAATTTGCAAGCTAGGTCCACAGCCAGATAAACTAAATTACAGCTGAACCAATGAATTAGGAAAAGAAGTCTAACATATTTTAGAAGACAAATATGTCATGTATCAGGTTAATAGATAAACCAAGGATAAATCTGACTAGAGATGCTGGGAGCAAGAGGAAGTGGCCCTGCTGTTTACATAGCATTGTTTATTTGCTGACATATGCAGTTCATTCTGGCATTGATTTCAGTTGAAGGCATGTGTATTAGTCTCGCAGCTTGAAGTGACACAATGATATCAGAAAGCAACAGGGATGAATGAATAAGGTGAAGTGATTTGTCACCTATGATCCAATGCAAGTCGTGAGTTTTACTATTACAGTGCAGGGTAACAACCTCTCACGAAGCGTCGAACTGTGAAAAACGGGGCTATGTGTGTCCTTTACTGTGGCAGAATTTTCTCCCGTCCTTTAATTTTGACAGGGATACTAAGATACAGTTTGATACTAAATGATACGTTTGAAACTCAAGAGGGAGGACTATTTATTAAATGGGCCCAAACCCTCAAGTTTTCCTGTTTAACTTAAAAAAGGATGACAAACAGACGTAAAACTTTACTTTTTTTTAGTGAATTTGCTATGCAGTTTCTAGGCTTGGCTCTTTTTAATGTATTTTCAGTAAAAAAAATCATCTGAATCTGGTGATAAGCGCAAGAAAGAATTCTGTATGTTAAAAACTTCGAACAGGAGATGGCCCTAACAGAATGTTGGGGGTTTTTTGGTGGAAACCCCAACTATTTACATGGTATCTAAAAGCTTATATACATAATTCATGGAGACTAGATGTAAACAAACCTAACTGCTGGAAGCTGGAAGCCTGCAGACCTGAGAGAAGGTATTTCCATGTTGAGTGTGCTATGGGCAGATAGCTTTTTGTTAGATTTTTATTGTCTGTTTACTTTAGGCCACAATATTCAGTATAACTACAGTACTTAGTTCTGCCTGAGAATTTGGGGAAATTATTCAAGTGATGGATACCAAAATTCTTGAAGCTTTATTTTTGAAGAGTGTGTGTTGTAGCTATAGATTTAAGGGACTAATTGCAGCTAGCTGGTGGCTGCAAAGCTCTCCTCTGAGGCTCTGGGACCCATACACAATGCCAAGTAAATGCCTAATGCTGACCTAAAAATTGAGCTATTTGAGTTGCTTATGCCCAGCTCTGCAAAGATCCATTCTTCGTTGATCTTGAGTGGGGCTATATAAGATTTAAAAATAGATACTGAGGGGGAAAAAATATCAAACAGAACAAAGCCGAGTTAATTTTATCTTGTTCACTTCCAGCAACTGAGGTCAGTTACTTACACAGATTCCTTTGGGGTTAGAAGAAGATTTATTTTCATTCTTTCTGTGTTTAGAAACAGAGGAGGAAGAGTTGCTGGTCTGAGAGGTGTTTGTGATGTTGGTCTCTTGGCTGAAGGAGCTGTTGTCACTGCTGTGCCGCCGGTGCACAGGCTCATCCAAGAGTGGGGATAACGGTGGAGGGAACAGCTTGTCTTCTCTTTTCTTTGCCACCTTTTTCACTGAGTTACCACTGCTCCTGGGACACAGATAAGAACCAGTTACATTTCAAGAACCTTGGTTAATCCTCCATAGCACCAAGATTATATTTACTGAGAAGCCAGCTCTACCCTCAAATATGTCCTGCAGTCCCCATGTCCTAGGAACTATGTCAAAAGGGAATAGCAGGGAAAACAGAAAAGCTACCTCTGCCTTTTCAATGGCTGCAGAAACCTCCTGCTTTGGAGGACAACTTCCACTGCATTAGTACAAATTGCACCCAATTTAAATGCTAATTTGAGTCAGTCTTCATTTAAGAGGTCATAGAGGTTCTGACTCAGCAAAGTGCTAGAAAGTTTTATGCATGGGGTTAGTTCCTTTGACATCAAATATGACTATTTATGTGTTTTAACATTAAGCATCTTCTTAAGAGGTGGATTAGGGCCCACATAAGCAACCTCTGCAAAAAGCATAACAGCACATGGCATGTGAACAAAAAAATATAATTTATAACAACTACAAAATGATAACCATAACAATAACAAGATAATAATTATTTGACCTCTAGAATAAAACCAATGTTCAACACTATATTAAAATGATACACTGTAGCTGGCAAAAGCCCTTGAGCAAACATTGGTTGATGAATTGAACGTGATTCAGAAAATGAATGTGGTTTTGACATGAAAACTCAAGTAATATGATAATCTATTGTCTGTTTTATGTACAGAAATTGTTAACTGGCTAGAAGTAGCAGCTGTGATACACAGTAAAACCAAAAAAACCTTATAGACCTTTCTCCCCTCAAATCCATCAAAGAGGATAAAACCAGAACCCAACACCCTGCTGTTTAACATGTTAATCTACTCATAGATTTTTATTTTGGGTACTGTCCTAGCTCAGTCAATGAAGATAACCTGAATTTTATTTTTTTGTTAGACTCTAATATCATGCTACACAGTCATTTACTTTTCATGATTATTGACCAAAATTTCAATAACAAATTAAGTCACAAAGAATTTATGTTTCCTTCCCAGTCACTTGCAGTCAGTGTCAGGAATTATAGATCTACTTTGCTTTAAAGTAACCAGGGAAAGAGGAGAAGGCAAGTCAAGTTTCCTTGCTCCTCATTCTGGAGCTCTCTCTCATTGCAGCCTGGCCTCTTTTGCAGTTTCACTAACAGTATCAGGATCCACACCTGCTTTGGTCATTCCCCTACTTTGGGGAATATAAAAATATGATACAAAACCTGGTGATAGAAGAATATTTTAGCTTATCTGTAAAATCACACAAGCTCGTCATGTTTCAGGTCTTATAGGTCTTCTACTCAAAACTATTTTAATTCGAGTGAAGCAGAGTTAAAAGTATCTGATTTGAAACTCTGATATTAAAGAACTTCAGACTAAAGGAATCAAATAAGCACAGAAATTCATGTTGCCTTACAGCAGGACTGGTATGAATCCTGTCCTGCTCAGAAAACACATGGGCCTAATCAAAGGAAAGCAACCAGGTTGGAAGAGACCGGCAGTTCTTTGAGGAGACTGATTTTATGCACATGTGGTCCTGCAACATGTCCTCCAAAAAGTTCTCACTCACAGCCCCCCCTGTTAGCTTTCTGACCCCCAAAGGGCATTTTGGAACTCAGACAAGTTATCACAGCCATAGCACAATAACACTCTGAACTTCTTCTGGAGGAAAGTTTTCCAAAGGAGGGCAAGCACTGTCCCAAGAAAGCATGCATGTTTTACTGGATTGTACAGAGGCAAAGCAGACACAGTTAATGAAATACCCAGGAGCAGGATCCAAACCCACTGCCTCCCAAGTGAGTGTCCTATGCAGGGAATACTGAACATGCACGTATGAGTGGGAGCAGAGAGCAAAGCGGTTCTCCATGCCCCTGTGCACGGAGGTGTGTGGAGGTCTTCTTTCTCCCTGGTACAGCTTTGCAAAGGTAAGAGCAACCACATCTGGCAGATCTCAAAAACATGTGAAGAAAAACTTGAGCCATTGGCCAAGAGCCCTTCAGGATCTGACCCTGCACCACTAGTGAGGTTCCTCAGCACACTCATGGATATTTCCAGGGCTAATGCAGGACTCCGTTGCTTGCAGACAGTCTACAACTGCATGGAGAAATTTAAGGCACATATAAAGCAACATTCCTCAGCTGCTACACAGAAGTGGAGGCATTAGGGAGTATTATCAGACAAACTTAAGGTGGTTGTAGGTGCCTTAAAACTTCACCAGTTCTCTCCATTTCTGGGCTTAAATATGAGATAGGGGAAACCACAATACAGATGCAGCTCCACAGCACTGGCACACAAGTCATTCTGTGGGTGGGAAGACTTAAACACAAAGGAAAATGAACTTGAGGGTATTTTTTTTCTATATAACTCAAAATCCCAAAACTTTATGGTTACAATTCTATTTGTTTTGGGTTTTTTTCTTTTCTTTTTTTTCCCCTGTTGCCCACTTAAACCTATGAGTTTTCGAAGGAAGCTGATGATTTATTTAGCAATGTTACCTCCCTAATATTTATGCCAAAGCATTTATGTTAACAATAACCTCCATGAAATAGGTTGTTACCAGCAGTAAACCAGATTGTCACTTTGCTTTGGGCTGTTAATGGCCTAAGAAACTGGTCTTTGATTGCAGTAATCACTAATTTTGAATGAATTTATTGCAATAATTACCAAGACTCAATGGTTTAATTTGCTGACATGATTGTTAGTTAAACTATATTTAAAATCTAGGGAGAAACACAATAAAAGTTTAAGTAAAACATACAAGCAGAACTGATGGTCTTGTGGCTGCAGGGCTTAATGTTTGTGACTGAAAAGGCCAATTAACCAAGAAGGATCCCCATTTGTTTTTTTTTTTCCCCAACCTGGTTTCTTTTGGGGCAGAAAGCAAGAAAGCAGGCAACCAGAGGTCACTGCATGAAGGAGAGAGAATTCCCATCTACTCTCACATTTCAAGCTGCCTTTCTTTGCCCTTTCTTTATCCACTCCTTGTGTTATGCAGTGGTATCTCTGGCCTACTAGTGACACAAAACCATTTTCCGTACCAATCACTTGGTTTTCCTTTGCCTCTATTCTCCCTGTCCGCAATGAAATGCCGCGTATAGGAAGTTGTGACTACCCAAGGGATTGGTAAATACACACTGCCAAGTATAGGTGCATCTTTAACTACAGGTCAAACAAAAGGGAATAAGACATCTTGAAAACCAGGCTGAAATGCCTGCCTCAGATTGATTTCCAGTGTTCCTGCTGGACGGCAAACATGTTTCACTGGTATGAGCCCAGGTTGAAATTCAGACATTCTGCAACAGCAAATAACTCTCTGCGTTGTTACAAACTGCCAAACACTGGCCAGCAGTGGTCGGGACTGGCTCTACCAATCAGGTATTCAAATATAAAAGGTATTCAGCAGCACATACAATTAATGCTTGAATTAAAATTGCTCTGGCGAGCAGGTAAATAAATAAATAATCCTCTGCTGCAAGGTGGGCAGCTGAGCTGACCAAAGTCCAGCTTCACAGCAGTGTTTCAGCTTGAACTACTTGGATAAAACACAGTGTCATCTATTCCTTCACTTGCTATGAAATATCAGAAATAAGGAAAATACAGTAGCGTTTGTTTGAATAATTACATTTTAAGTGTCATGTCAGATTTGGGAAAAGGCATCAGCCCCAGAGTGTGTGAGGGAAGGAACAGAGAGATAACCAGTTGCTTATGCAATGACCACATTATACAAACCAGCTCTTAGGTTGTGTGAACAGCTTTTAAGTTCATAATTGACCATTTGAAACTTCTACACTCAAACTGTACGTGTAGTCATAGAAACTTGTGGAAATTACGTATATAACTGTCCATATTAGACATGTTACCCTTTAAAAAATAATTTTGCATCTTTGCTTGCTTTATTGAACACATATATTTTGGGAAAGATTATGAGAAAATGTATTCAAATGTCTAAACCATGGACAAGGAGCCAAGCGAGAGCTGCAGAGGCACGGGGAAGGGGGACTGCCTTTCAACCATTCCTCCAGACTCCTGAATGCCTCCAAATTTCAGCTTAGAGATCAGAGTCTTCTGGTCAAAAGACTCTTGTATCTATAAAAACCCCAATGAAAGTCTCTGAAGGCTGCCTGAGGGAACTTGGTTAACAAGTTCTAATAGGAGAGACTTAAGGTTCCTCCCAGGTGGGAACATCCACCAGAGGACATACCATCTTCTTAATGGATGGCCATCACCATCACAACTGTGGCTGAATCACCCTCATTTCTCAGAGTTCTTACATAGAGATTTAGGAGTTCTGAAAGAAATGTAAAACCTTCAGGAATAAAGGAGTAAATGGCAAAGCCTGTCTTTCAACCTCTTACCACTGAAGTGTTATTTTCCCCCATGCCCTTGAAGAGTGTACTTTGAGCTTCCCCTTTCTTCTGCCTCCCCTTAAAAATCTACCTAAACCCTCTGAGGAACAGAACCACTCCTGACTACTTAAAAACAATCTGGGGCTCTCCAGAAATTTGTTGCCACACAGTTCAGCCAGCTCCCTAATCTTCTGGGAAATATATTGATCTATATTCAGCTGCACGTCTCTGGGAGTTGAAGACCTGAATTATCAAACAATACTGCATTTGTTTCAAGTGAACTCAGAAAACACTAATAACAAATGCAGTGTGATCCAGGGCTCAATCACTGCAGTGGAAAAGAAGTTGGCAAATTTTGTTTAAAAACTTGAGGCAGACAAGAGGAAAAGCTGGCATATGGAAACAACTATTGATGGACACAATTATATTTTAACAGAGAATACCAAAGGCTTGAAAGCTCCAAGGAATCAAATTAATGACCTGGAAAACAAGCTCAAATTAAGAAACATCAGGTTGGGGGTGGATCCTTAGGGCTTGCTGGCGACAAGAATAGAAGGATGTTTTTAATGGATTGTGGAGGTGTTGGGGATGGATAATCCTTGATTTCCTCTGCAATATATCTCTGCTTATTGTATTTCTAGCAATGACAATCAGGCAACACCCATCATGATGTTTATCAAACGTGCAACATGTTACAGAACACATTGTAACTTTCTACTCATCTGCCTTTTCCAGACTCCAACAGACTTTCTCCGTGGTAAAAAGAGGGCTTAGTTCAAGGACTTAAGTTAGTCCTTGGTATTTATACACTATGATAAATAAAATTATAATCAACCTTCTTTATGGGTTTTAAAATTTGTATGCTATTTCATAAACAACCTTTGAACTTTATCTAAATTTAAATACTACTACACTCAAATTGTTTTCAGAAGCACATTGAGGGTTTGATCCTTGCTTGTCCTAGCAGAAAAAAATGCCTTGTCTCAAAACTGTAAAAGCCCAAAATTGATGACAGAAGGGAATTGAACTCTTTGGTTATTTATAGAATGTTAATCTTGTGATTATACTAATCAGAATCATTATTTATGTGACACCTGTTTGCTCAAGCATTACAGCCATCTCTCAAAAACATTCTGAAAGGCACAAAGTATTTGATTACATGTCTGCTGAACTACGAAGAACGTATGTCTGAAACATTTAGGTTGGTCACCCCTGGCATTGCTGTACACAGAGTTAAAAGAGTAAGAGCCACTGAAGTGACCGGCAAAGTCACTATTTAGTTCAAGAAAAATGAGAACCATCTCTTACGAAAACAATTAAAAAAAAATAAATTCCAGGCAATCAAATAAAGCCTACTTTTAGTAGGATTCTCTGGCCATAGAGGTTAAGGATGATGGGGGCAATAAAGAACATTGAAAAGACATAGTATGGGGGTAAAAGAGCACACCAGGATTGCGGTGCCATCCTGAATGCCTGCAGTCCATCAGAAGGATGGATGAATGAATCTCATCTAAAACCATGTGGTTCCTCTTCCTGAATGACAGGAATAGCAATGCCGGGTCACTTACGCTTATGGGCTGTAAACCCCATCTGGCTCTACAGCAAAGACATTTGTAGAACAGTACCACAAAATCCCTCATGAATGTTATTCGTAAAGAAAACCCAACTTACTCTTTAGTGCTGGTTAATCTGTGATTCGGTATTGGAGAGATACAAGGTGGGAGTAGGCATGAAGCTGAAGAGTCCTCCAGGCGTGGCTTCTTGCTTTCAACAAAGGTATCCAGGCTTTCTGTCTGCTTTAATGAAAAGGGTAGAGTTTGAAAGATGGAGTGTGCACAGTTTCACTTGCTATGAAGAGGAGCTCAGGAATCTCTGTGTATTTCCTTTACAGTAGCAGCAGTTAAAATACTGGTCTAAGAGAAGTGAAGGTCACCTGAAATCAGGGCTAAATGTGCTCCAAACACATGACATGAACTTATATAACAAGTGACATAGCCAGATAATCAGGCAACAAAACACCTCATGTGCTGTAGTTATCTTCTGTAGTGCACTGGAATGTAATTAATATTTCAGATGGAATGACGTGATAGCACCAAATCCTACTGAAGTAAATAGCTTTCACTCATTGAATTAATAGAAGTTGATGGGAGAACTTCCCTGAGTAAGTATTCCTCACAGGACTAGAAGACTAGAGGACTGAGCTGGGGTAGTCATTAACGATAGCTGGTTTAAAATTTGCTTTGAAAGATTCCCTGATGCATGACTTTTGTGCCTGAACTAGGATGATACAAGCAAAGCTGATTATTGCTCTGTCACTGGAACCTTCCTATCAGCCTTTGAGCCCTCTAGTAGATGGTTAAAATAAATCTTTTAATGGCATGATTTAGAAACAGAAATCAGGCTCTCCCTACCCTGTTTTAACTGTTGATGTACCCTCAAGTCATCCTAATTGGCTTGTTTCCCCTTGGGAACAATCATACAGCAACTGAATAGGCTGTTCCAGAGTGTAGCTTATGTTTGCACAGTCTCAGAAGGAGACTCCTCATATGTTTACTTTCTGATTCAAATTATGAGGTTCCATCTTTCATGACCATGTTCCCCCTCCCCCCTTTTATTTTTCCTGGGAGTCCTCAGTTTAGTTGCCCGTACTAGCCGAGATTCCGTCTCCATCATACTGACACTCCACTAAGGTACCTAGCAAGAAGATTTTTTGTATAATTAGTATGCACCCTGGTGTACTTATACATACATGTAAGCATGGACATTTATACATCCCTTTCCTCTTCTTTCCTCCTTCTTTCTTACATCGCTGCCTTTAGTGTATAGCTAGAATATAAACTGAGTAAAAACCTGCTGAGTTTATTCATGTGATTATTTCCACTTAATTCAACAGGGAAGGAGCCAGAGCAGTGACTCATGTAGGCAGGGGTGCAGACCCTGTATCTGCCTGGCATTGTCTGTCTTTATTTAGTTAACTCTCTCGTACCACTGGACTGCTCAAACTCAGGGTTTCAAGAAGTCCACTAGAACAGACAGCTGAAGACACATTCACAATCATTTATAAAATCTGGGGAATAAAAACCCTCATGTTATGATGACTTCTCAGAGACAGACCAGAGCACAACCATTCCAGCTGGGAAAACTGACTACAAAAATTCATTCTTAATATAAAACTTCATTTTTTTTCTGAAAACACATTTAGTTTGAAGTGCACTGTCATATCCCACAAGATGGGATAACCTTGGGCATGAATAACATAAAACACATGATAAAATGTAACGCCTTAAGTCAAAATATATTTGCTTTTTCAGGTAGCTGTGTAGAGAAAGCAGCTAGTTAAGCAAATGATATTTCTATGAATCACATTTGTTTATACAACAAAGCAATACAAAGACTAAATTCACCAGGAGCATAAGCAAGTACCATTCCATTGACTTTAATGAAGCTATTTAAGCCAGTGGTGAAAATGCCTTAATTCTGCAGACAATAAAACCCTGCCTTCCAAACAGAAGTCACATTTTCTGAGTGTGGGTGAACCCCACAGTACTACGAACTCATCATTGGGAATCCTTCTGCTGACTACAGAACACTGGAAATTAGTGGGTAAGTGAGCAAATACAGTGAAAAAGCCTGTAAGACGAATGTCAAAAAAATACATTGTTCATTGATTTTGTCAGCTGGAGTTTGGTTTTTACTGGTTCTGATGTTAATTTGCAGTAATGAACTTGTAAATGTATGTTCTTTGTAAAAACAATAAAGCCTCAGTGTTATGAGGCCTCCTTACAGCCCTGCTGCAGGTGCAGTGAGGAATCACTGACAGCAATCCTGACATCAAGGATGCAAACTCAGTGTTTTTCTCCAGACAATGAAAATTACTTACCTTGTGTTTCCTTTTGGATTTTGTGGGTGGTTTTTCAGCTGCTGGGGTAGGGGACTCTCGAGATGGTCGCCTGTGTTTCACATTTGCCTCTCTTGGTTCACTTTTCACAGACGTGGTCTCAAAAGGCTCTTGTCCAGGTATTCTAGAGAGTAAACTAAGGTCTATTTTCACCCACAGAGATTTGAGTTCTTCATATTCTCTCAGTGGGGACAGAAGTTCGTTTTGTACGATTGGAATAGGAGAAAAGAGCTGCTCCTCCAGGTCATTGCTGGTCTGGTCAATGGATGTGTTGCTGCCATTGCTAGTTAAACTACTTACGCTGAGGATGTTACTGCCAGAGTCCTTTGCTTTGACACCATTGGCAGAGCCAGGGCAAGCCGGCAGTACCTTAGCCTGCAAGCTCTCCTCCTGGTCAGTGTTTGAGTCAGAAGTAGACGAATCCGTTTCAATGAATTCCCGGGATTTGGGGACAATTTTGCTGGGGCCTCTGTACTTCTTCTTCTCTGAAGTGAGACCTGTGCTAGTTCGTGGTTCTTTCCTTGGAGCGGTCTTCCCAACTGCTGCTTTAGTTCGAACCTTTGGCTGCTCGGGGGGTTCCTGTGTGTCTTTTTCTTTGGGAGTGTTGCTGGTATTATTTGGTTTGGGCCAGTTATACTCTTCTACACTGGAAGTCCTTTCTACCTTTTTGGGTTGCTTTTTCCCAGTAGTCCTTTGTGAAGTTGGCTCATTATGAGCTGGTGACTTCTGCTTGGAGCTTTTTGCCTCTGGGGTTTTCTGGGCAACCCGTGGTTTGGCTTTCTCTCGGATGGGACTAAGGATCGCCCGGTCTTTGGAATCAGTCGGGGGCAGGCTGCTGTTGAGTTTCCCTTTGTTAGGCCCTTCGGCCTGCTGGTTGCTCTGGGGCTGGGAGCTGGTCTCGCTGTGAGGCTCATTTTGATTGTTGATGATGGTCTTGTTGTGGGGGTTCACTTTATTTAGCCATTTATCCAGCTGCCATTTGTTTGTTGAGGGGGGTTCAGGCTGCAGATGGAATAACGACAAGGAACAAATCTCACACAGAAGCAATGCTTTTGCCTTTGAAAGAGTATGTTTTTAACGTACCATTTTATTTCAGTCAACTAGTGGTGACTGCTAGTTTTACGGGAGTATTTATGGAGTATTTATGGTTAATTAGGCTTCCTTATCTGGTTTACAATGTGGCCCTGGAGAAATTTAATATAACTAAAAAGTTTAGCTGGTCCCTGAAGACATACTTTTGTCATGTTGCCTTCCCTTAGTCCCAGCTGAATACTGTGTCAATAAAATCTTCTCTAGCTACTGGAAAAAATCTAAATACTTCTTTCAAACCATTCAAATGTAGGCCAGAATGATTCTTCCAAAAGCTAGAATGAGTATGTGGGTCATACGTGTAAAACTGTGAAGTGAGAAAAAAGTCAACAGCATCAAACAGCACAGAACTCCAACATCTCCTACAACGGAGCGGGATTTCACTCTCTTCCATGCTTCCCCTTCCAAACACCCACTGGGGAGGAGCTGAGTGTGGCTTTACCTCTGGCGTGGCACTGCGTGACTCCTCGTTGCACTCGCTGTCACTGGAGCTGCTCTCGCTGTCAGAGTCGGACTCGGAGCTGCTCTCGGACTCGCTGGAGCTCCCAGAGCCGCCGCTGGAATGGGCTAAGCCAGTTGCGTGTGCTGCTGGCACGGGCAGGCTGCTGTGGGGAGAAGAGCCTCTTGTGTCAGTATGCTGCTTGTCTTTTTCAGAGTGTTGCCTTGGGGGGAGCCACCCAGTGAAGCCAGTTCACACCGACTTTCCTCTGAGTCAACTCGCCCTCCTGCAGTACAGACCCAGTGAAAGCTCCAGCGGCTGTGCCACTGCATGGCCACCAAAGGAGCCCGTTGGGTTTCTGCTTCATGGGACATGCTGATAATGGTGTTAATCACATCACCATCATCATCACCCTTAAATGAGAAACGCTTCAGTGTCACAAGCCTGAGCTTATTAGCCCAATGATTGCAAATACTAACAATCACACTTAAATAATTCATTAATGGAATCATGGTTCCTTCATTTTTTGCTGGTTCATTTATAATTTATGATCAAAGGAAGGACATCAGGCAACTAATATTGGATGGGGCATTTTAAAAATTAATTTTAATGAATACTTTTACACTGCGGCATACAAAAACTACGTATTTTTGACAAGACTGCAGGGACTGCCCAAGAATTTTTTATTTATAGCTGTTTTTTCTCTCATGTTTATGATAATGCAGTGATAAAATGGCATTCATGCTGAAAATAAGCCTCTCTGTGAAATCTATTTTTCTGCATGTTCAACTGTCCTCCAGGATGTATTTATTAGCAATGCACTGGGTGTCATTGTCTTTCCTCAGCATTTATTTCTAAACTGAGAGGTTGGATGACCCCAGTTTTAAGCACTACAGATTCTGCCAGTCTGAGTCTTTATAAACTCATCTTTAATTTCAACTTTTTTCTCAGGGAGATAACCATAAGGTTTTATGTCTCTTCAGCTGATCTATTCAGAGACTTTTTGATGATTGATTTTAAATTTGTGAAGCTGACAAAGCAAAGTGTTTGAAAATTGACACCGCTTGCTAGCACGCCTTTATGGATATTCAATACTTCACCTTAATATATCATACGCTGTGTGTGTCCCATATTGAGCGATTCTGAGACGCCTAGAAGTTGTAATACAGCTTTGCCTTCATTCCTGCCATCTGCTTTTCTACTTTCCTCCAAGAATGATTCAAGTAAGCCAGGTACATGCCCTCCTTCCCCTTTCAAACTGAAATGCTATGTGCATCAAGATGCCCTCCTAAACAACCACACTAACCAAGAAATGGGAAGTTGGAAAAGCCAGAAAAAATACGTGTGACCTGCTCAGCTAGAGTTTTTACAAGTATTGCCATTGGCTTCCGTGACAATAATAGATAGTCTTTAATTTTCTTCTTATGCTAAGCTATTTTCTCTCTCCCTCCTTGTTGGTAAACCTATCCCTTACACCGCGGTTGGTAACATAACTGTCTCTTTGTGCATTGCAATGGCCCTGCAGTGCCCATTGACAGAACAGCTTGGTGCTTTAGGGTGCACTAATGAAACAAAATTACTCACTTGGGTAATTCCTACAGATCACTAACTTTGTTGCTCATTAAGTGCACCCACCCCCCACCCCCTTCTTCTAGAGGCTCTTCACACAACTGATTCAAGTAGAGCTACTTTACAAATTTCAATTGGAAGTAACAGGTAAATCAAACAGATGCTTTTAAAAATACTGGCATTTCCAAAACTATAATGGAGAACGAATCACTGCTGAATTAAAAGGTAAATCTTACACTTCATACTTAATGTCATTATTTTAGAGACTATTTGCACATTTGTTTTTCTTTCTTTATCCCTCCTTTTCCATGAAGCTCAAGTGTAGCAGAAGACTTATTTTTTTCTTTTCTTTTTTCAGTGAAGAAGGAAACCAAGTGAATGTGTTTGTAGGGGTGTTTGCCTTTCATTTCAATATCTTGTGATTTTGGCCTTATATTTTCTATTTGGAAAACACTTAAAGTAGATGAAAACTGAGTTTTCCTACTTCATTACAACTGTTTCCAAGAAGAAACAATAAGAAAAAAAAATAGAAAAAACTTCAAGGGTTCCAAAGCTGAGGAGGCAAATGTGGCAATTCCAGTCTAAAATACCAAAATGAAACATCAGCCTTGAAAAAAATGTTACTTACAGAATTATCAGAATGATGAAGTTGCAATTTAGAAATTACTTTTTCCCTAAGTCTGTGAGCTTCATCTGTTTTCACCCTAAACTAGAAGTGAACAAGGCAATATTAATGCTTCACCCTTGCTGGAAACTCCAGTTCCCACTACCCTAGTAGGGAGCTGGCTGTGAAGATGCAGGGATGATGAGCCTGGTTCCTGCACAGAGTTGAAGCATCTTTGTAGCTGGGCACATAAACCTGCACCAGACTCGTGCAGTGACAAAAATCTTTGCTGGGGGTGGTTTATGCCCAGGTAACCCCCCCACAGAAGGATGTGTGTGAGGCTGCTCACACATTTGTGCAGATCTGCCTAAGAAAATGCTCTGTTGTCAGTGCTGGCAAGTTTGCTCTCATTAAGATAACTGACGTAAAGAATAGCACCTCTTATGATACATCAAAGAAGGAAAAGCCAGCGTCCCAGCAGGTAAGGCCAGACATTTCCAGCCTTTAAACACAACCTACATCTTTTAGCACTCTGGAAGAGAAATGATACTGTAGCTGGGATGCGCTTACACAGAACAACTGGAGTTGTACTGTAGCAGACTGCAACTGTCTGACAACTCAAAGGGCAAGAAAAAAACCCCATGGAAACAGATGGTAGCTCCAACCCGGCCTTATTTTCTTTCTTTCTGCACACTAGCCTTAGAAAATTATCATATGCCAAACATTACTGAATAACACAGCTCAGCAAGCTTGCAGGAACCAGATAGACTCAAAATAATGTTTTTCATACAAAACACAATGAGGTCATATTTGTCTTTCATCTGGGATAATAAAATTATGCCCTGGTGGTTTCATGCTGAAAGCATCATTGCGGATATACGTTTTTAAAGTAGAAGCATTCACTTTTCATCATATAGTTTGGGTTGAGAGTAACTCTGTATGTTTGCAAAACAATCAGATAAGATCCGAAATGCCTTTCCTAGCATCTTCCCATACTTAAGAGAGATCTTGCATATAGGTACATGCACAACCAACTCCTAGTAATGCTGTTCAGCAGAACAGAAGAAAATGTACAGACCTTTCACATACAAGGGCATGAAAAAAAATCATCTTTGCTTCCAATAAAACGAGTGTAGCAGAGAGATTCTGGGATGTCTTCTGGGGTCTTTTCCTTACATAAAATAGATCTTTAAGTTCAAAACAACAGGTTGGTTTGCACTTTTCCCAAAGACTTCTTCAGGTTTAAAGTTAAAGCACATGTTTTAAAAGATGCTGGGATAGATTCTGAAAATGTGCATTCAAGCAGCTGATATACAAGTAAATTGGACTTCTTCACATAAATATCAACTACATGAACTGGGGGTTGCCTCTCTAAGAGACTTTCAAAGGAAGCTTTGTTGTGTTGCTAAGATCCAGCCAAGGAATGCCAGCCTGGACAAGGTTTAAAATGGATTTAAAGCATTTTATCACCAGATACAAGTCCCCAGAGTGACTAAAGGGCGCAGGAAGCACTGGTATTTGAAACTCTTGAATTCTGATTTCCCAGCAGGAGATGAGCACTCATGTCGTTCCTCAGTGTTTGGGTGGACAATGTTTTTATTTCATTTGAAAGGAAAAAAAAATAAAAATTAATAAAACCAATTCTCCACAATGGAACAGAGTATTGTTTGGGTAAATAACACTTAGAAGAAAGCCAGTTCATTATTATCACTTGAGATTGGAGGCCCCTACTGAGACCAGTGACCTGCTGTGCTGGGATCTGTGCAAATACATGATGAGACACAGTCCTTGGGCCAAAGAGCTTGCAATCCAAATACACAAAGCAAACATGAGAGGTATTACAATAATCCTCAGACTCAGTAAGGGTGTCTCACATTCTCTAAGCCCAAGGCCACTCCGAAGTTAATGGAAACATCAGTTTCCTGCCCTGTTGTTCTCCCCATTTTCCAAGCCCTGTGCTCAGCAGTTGAGGTGAAACCTGCAGGGCAGTCAGACAGGGTCTGCCCTGACCCAGAGCCCCATCTGGAAGGAAAAATACACCCGTGACTTGGCAGCATGGATTCCCATCACTCATGCCAGATGGACCAGCATCTGCGTACCCCTCTCCAGAGCAGCTTCTCCAGTGCCATGGAGATGAGGGACACTGGAGTGACACCCACACTGTAGGTAGAGCAAACACAGACCTCCTTTTGCAAAGGCCATCATGATGATGTCTCTAGTAGCCTGCAGGTTGGTAAGCTGGTCTCCTCCCTGCTATCAAACAATGAAGCAGACAGAAAGATACCTGCACGTCCGGAAGCAATTTGGAAGGAAGCTGTTCTGCAGTACTTTCACCTATCTCCCTCCTGCTTTTGCAGCACACAGCACTTCCCCTGTCCCTTGCTGCCTGGTAGCATGACTGTGTACAGCATGGGCGCAAAGATGAAGTGAGAAATGTCTTGAAAGAGAGAACAAACACCAGTATCAACAGTGCCTGCCAGTGTTTTTCAGCACTTGTTGAGCTAAGGCTTAACTACAGAGCAGCTGAGGCTTGCAGGTGTCTGCTGGTGGCTCCTAGTAAGGAACTGCATCAAGCTCATCACACACCAACCATCGTGTTTTTACCGCCGTTCACTGGTACAGGTGAGCTGCCTAAATTTAAATGGGACCCTGAGGCTTGTCTGGTTTTAAACTCATGGGTTATTTTTCCAAAGCCAGTTAAAGTAGACATTGCATTATTATATGTTTGGATTATTATGCTGCCTAGAGAACTGGAGGCCCAACATGCAGCGTACACTTTCTGGTTGTCATCTAGGCTATTACATTATTTTCAACACATCATTTATTCGGTTGTAGTAACTTATTTTCAAGATTAAACCTGGTAGTAACAACAAAGATAATGTAAAATACTAAAACTCATTAACTTCTAATAAGAAAAAGAATAAGCCTTTTACCCTGTAAATACACATATAAAGAAAAGTTGTGTAATTCAGCCTACTGCAGTAAAACTCACC